TATATGTACGTTTTCTTCTCAAATCCGCATGCACACCTTAGGCGATGCTTAAGAAAACTTAAGTTTTCGGCCAGAGTCTCGATGATTCTTAATGTTTCGATGTGAATCCTAACATGTTAATAGAAATGTTGGGTTTTGTATCCAAGTTCTTAGACTATGAGTTTCTTAACCCATGGTTTCTTAAGCATTTCGCAGGGTGTAGGAGGACATGCCCGACTGAACCCTGGCAGGCGCCACGCGCCCCCCCCTCGCCCGCGGCCTGCCACAAGGGAGTGTCGGGCCTCGCCGGGGGGCGTCCCCTCCGTGGCCTGCAGGCGGTCCGCCCGGGGCGCGCTCGCTCGGAGGCTCCGGGGAGCTGCGGAGGGCTCGCGGGACGCACGGGTGCTGTCCGTTCTCCATCTGCGCGCGCGCGTGCCGCATGGTCAGCGGGACGGCGGCCCACGGTAGGGGCACCCGTGAGGCTCCAAGTCAGGAAGGTGGCAGGCAATAGCCGGTCGGTTGCGGCAGGGGGGCAGTGTGGGGATGTGTCGAAGCCGCGGGATGGAGTGGCAACAGCGGGAGTTCTGGAGCAATGCGGAGCGCGAGAGAGAGAGAGAGGGACATTCTATGTTGTTTTTGGTGGTCGAGATGGTAGCTTATTGCTGAGGCAGCCCAGGCTCCCTGGGCTGCGAGGCTCTCCGAGGGTTCGTCTGGTTTGTAAGCGCTAGCTGGAGGGGGGATGAGGCGGAGGGGGAGGAGGAGGAGGAGGAGGAGGAGGAGGAGGAGGAGGAGGAGGAGGAGGAGGAGGAGGAGGAGGAGGAGGAGGAGGAGGAGGAGTGATTCGCGGCCGCAGGCTTTTTTGCTCAAGGAAAGGAGCCATTCAGATTCTGCGACCTGCACAGTTCGACGCCGCTTCGCGACGCCAACCCGGGTTGGAGAGGATACCCTGTGGAGTTCGGGCAGGGCTCGGTGTTGGTTTCGCCAGGAAGGTCTCCAATCTGATGGCGAGCGCCGTCTGTCGAGCAGCAGTTAGTATTTGTTTCGGGCAACACCTGGTGTCGGGCAGATTGCCCTGTCTGTGATCATGTCCCCAGGTCAGGCGTGCCAGCATCTGTGGTTGACTCGAAGCTTGTGTCGTTGACGTTTGTCTTTGGCTCACACTTCACTGCAGGCAAGCATGTAAAGCAGATGGGCGTCACGTCGGCGTGGCGCGGCCAAGGCTTCGAGGAGGATCGATCGTCGTCGTCGTCGGAGTCGTCGTCCTCGTTGTCGCCGTCGGATCGTCGTCCTCGTTATCGCCGTCGTCGTCGTCGTCGTCGTCGTCGTCGTCGTCGTCGTCGCCGTCGCCGTCCTCGTCGCCGTCCTCGTCGCCGTCTTCGTCGTCGTGCTTCGTCGCCGCCGCCATCGTGCTCGTCGTCGTCGGCTGCCTGGCTGCGCTCTGGCCCCTGCGGCCTCTCCTCGCCGGCGCTGCCCCCCTGGGGGCACGGCGGCTCGCACGGAGCAGGTACGGTTAGGTCGGGCCCGTCCCCCCACAGGCCGATTTTGGACGAAGAATTCAAAATTGCCCCAATAAACTTTAACCTACTCAAAAATGGTTCAAAATCGTCGCCAGACTATTCTTTCTAATTTTGCAATCTTCCTCCTGTAGAGGGACAGGCCCGATTTAAAGGTACGGCAGATTCGCGTCGTGTCGACCGGCGGCGACCCCAGCGCGGGCGTTCAAGGTTGAACGCCGCCAGTGGCCCAGATTTGGCCAAATATGGAAGGATCTGGCGATCGAGATGCCGCTGATCGGTCCAGGTTGAATGATCGACGCGGTGTCATTAACCAACGCCAGGTCGACACAACACGGACCTTCAGTAGGTGGGATGGTCGTTTTGGCATTTGCAGCTCTGACACATTTCCCTTCCCAAGGGGGGAGGAGCCACAGGGGTTTCCGCGAAACCCAACAAGAGAGCGGGCGACGTTCTCGTCGCCAGCCGCTCTATTGCGGTGTGTATCCCTGTCGCGCCCATTCGCGCCAGTCCGCCCCGGACCTCCCCGCGAGTTGTGACAACCATCACGGCGGAAGATTTTTCGCCACTTTCGGCTTCCATAGAGGCCCTCATTTTGGGCCTCGGGCCCGTCAAAAACGACTCAGGATGAAAAACGCCTGCTCGCGATTTGAAACGATCATCACGACGGAAGGTTTTTCTTTTTTTTCGGCCTCCAGGGGCCCTCCTTGGGCCTTGGGCCCGTCAACAAAACGACTCAGGCTGAAAAACCGGTCCCCGGGAAGGGGTCCAGACCTGGGGGTCGACGGTCCCTGACCTTCCAGAGTGCTTCAAAATAGCCCTCCAGACCTACAGACCTGTCTGGGCTGCCTAGAACCCCCACTGTAATTTAGATGTCGAGATCCTGTGCTACTTTTTAGCCCTCCTGGGAGGTCGGGGCTGTGAACAAAAATCACGACGTCGGAAGCTTGGGGTCGCTGGCCGCGCGAGGGCCCGAGAGCCCCAGGCAGGCTCCCCGGCGGGTCGTCTTACGAGCGGGGGGGGAGGGGAACGGGGAGCTGGGAGCCGTCAAACGCCACGGCTGGAGCGCCCAGCGACCTGCGCAGGACACCACCCACCAGACCACCCCAGCCCAACCCGAAGGCCTCAACTTGTCCTCCATTTTCAGTTGGGGGGGGAGGGGGGGGGGAAATTGGAGAAACACACAAAAACATGAAGCCCGTAGCCCCCCCCAAGCCGAAATTCGGGTATTCGGGTTGGGTTGGGGTGGTCTGGTAGGTAGTCGGCAAGAGAAGCCGGGGCTGCCCCGCCGCTGGGCGCCTTCCTCGAGACACGGGCGCCGGTCTGCCGCATGGGGTTGGCTGCTGTCGTTTGCTCAGCGGCCCCGGGAGTTATCACGGGGCAGCCCTGCCCTGCTCGATTCCTGTCCAGGGTGCGCTCACCAGATGGTGTCGCTTGTCGGGGCGCTGGTCGTGCGGGTGGGTGCTCTGCTCTCGATCCTGGCGGCAGCTGTGGCGTTGGGGCCCGTGCCCCGGGACGAGAGAAGGCACGGGCGGCCGAGGCTGGTTGCGGCCCCGCCGGCGGGCGCTTGCCTCGATGCACGGGCGCCGGGAGGCGCCGGGAAAACCAGATGCATGCGGCTCGTTCGCCAACAACTCCCCTGTGCTGACCGCTCCTCTCCCGTTCGTCTTCTCCGAGAGGCCTGCTTCCTAGCTAGGTGGGGCTTCTTGGAGGGTCCTCGTCGCCGCGGCCAGATTCGCCCTGAGGTCGTGCTCGGGAGGCGCTCCGGGATGTGTCCCAGCGGGGGGAGAGGTTGTGAGCAAGCATGGACGGATGAGCGGAAAGCGCAGGGAGGATTCAGGCACGTTTGAGGTACAGTGGAGACCCATGCCAAGAAACACCCTGCTTGCCTCTAGGGCGCCCTGGGTTTCTTGGGTTTCGATGGTCTTGTTTTGCGACGGACAGCGTGACGTTGCCACACCAGAAGTCAATGAACGTCCTGGGGGTCCAGGGCTGGGTTTCTTGTGGAGGTCGAGCTCCTCCTGTCTTGTGTTGGCTCTCGCGGGCCTCTGGGGGCGTTTCCGTCGCCGCGGCGGGGCCCGCTGCGAGCGCTGCCGAGGCCTCGGGAGGGCCGGTGGAGGCGAGCGTGGCCAAAGCCTCCCGCCGTGCTTCTGTTCGTGGATAGATACGATGCCACTGGATTAGCTGGCCGCTTGTTGTTGGATTGTGTTCCTCCCATACAGCTGGGCGGGCACGCTCGTCAGAATCGCGGTCTCTTCTTGGGAGGCCAGCACCCCAGTGACGAAGGGCGATCCAACCCACGTTGATCCCAATCGCGGGCATGTCTGGGCTGCCCTCGGGACAGCAGGGTCGTTGCGCGATGTCCCGCCTCGGCCAAGCCTCCAGGTCGGTTTGGGAGAGGTCGCCGCGGCGATCGCGGGCCCCAAACCCGGGCAACGTCCGGGCATCGCTCTTGCCAAGGAGTGGCGTGTCCTTTCCCAGGCCCCCTCTCGCCCTGTGATGTAGACGTGGGTCATCATGAACCGCATAGCGACAGACCCAGAGATCCGATGTCGTGATTTTTTCAATATGCGGTCCCCCGAAATCTCGACCCCTTCCACAGGACCGGTTTTTCATCCTGAGTCGTTTTTTGACGGTCCCGGGGCCCAGCGAGGGCCCCTGGAGGCCGAAACTTGAGAAAAATGCCCGTCTTGTTTTTGTTCAATACGTTGCATCTCTGGGGAGAGTTGTCTATGCATGTCAGACATCGGCAGTCTTGTTTCTTCGGGTGGGGGTCTTACTTCGCAGCCATAGGGCCCTTCTTCCCTCACGCCAGGCTGCCGCGCCCGGGGCTTGGTGGCCGAGGCCCAAACGTGCGCCACGAGGAAACCCCGAGGGCAGGTTGTGCTTCTCGGCGTGGGCTTGTGCGGGCCCGCTTTTCAGGACGAGGAGGAGGAGGAGGAGGGAGGAGGAGGAGGAGGAGGAGGAGGAGAGGAATAGGAGTGAATCCGATTATGTGGAAGAGGAGGAGGAGGAGGAGGAGGAGGACAGGAAACAGGAGGAGGGGGAGGAGGAGGGGAGGAGGAGGAGGAGGAGGAGGAGGAGGAGGAGGAGGAGGAGGAGGAGGAGGAGGAGGACGAGGACGAGGTCGAGGACGAGGACGATGACGAGCAGGCGGTCGAGAAGGAGAAGGAGATCAAGGAGTAGAAGGAGGAGCAGGAGGTGAAAAAGACGACCAGGGACTGGGAGGAGGAGCGGGTTCAGGGAGGAGGAGGATGAGGAGGAGGTGGAGGAGGAGCAGGAGCAGGAGTAGGAGGAGGAGCACGAGGAGGAGGAGGGGGAGGAGGAGCACGAGGACGAAAACGAGGAGGAGGACGAGGAGGACGAGGAAGAGGAGGAGGAGGAGGAGGAGCAGCAGCAGGACCTGGCAGCAGGAGCAAGGAGGGGGCCGCGCCCAGCACTGCGGGGCGCGGCGGCGGATCACGCCTATTCGCTTCAATGCTAGCTACTCTTACTCGCGGCCTGGGCATGGCGAGCGCGCCTCGGGACAGCGAGGCGCCGCTCCGCCAGCTCGCGGCGACCCGGGCAGCGCAAACTCTGAGCGGTCTGCAGGAGGGCCAGAGGATTGAAGAGCCCGGGCCCCCCAGCGTCGTGAAAAAATTGCACCTGGAGTTTTCGTTTCGCTACGTTCGCTAGTTTCGATGGTTCTGCTGTGGAAAGCGTGGCGTTCCCACACCAAAAATCCAATGGACGTCCTGGGGTCTCTGGGCTGGGTTTCCTGTGGAAGGTTTCTTGTGGACTGGCCTCCACAGTAGGCCTGGAGGTCTGTACACCAGTCCGGGGCCCAGGATGGACGCGGGCAGGGCTGGCTGGTGGTGTCTTCTCGGCGCCCCTCCGAGGAAGCAGGGCGAGAGAGAGGAGGAAGGGACGAAAAGGTAGAACCCATTCGTTCCAGACCTCGCGCTGTGGAAAAATCGCGACGGGAGGTTTCTTCTATATTTTCGGCCTCCCGCATTGCCCGTTTCATCTGTGCTGGCGGTGTCGGGGAACTGGGAAACGGACGGAAGGCGCCTCTGGACCTGAGAGTTCGGTCGGTTCCCGCATTGTCCGTTTCATCTGTGAGGTCCCATTGTTAGCATTCCCAGCGGCGTGCGGGAACTGGGATACAGGACGGAAAGTCCCCTTGTCATCCCTTGTCATATTGCTATTGCCTGCTCTCGCTGTGCTACCAGAACCCCCTTGGATTCCCGGGCGGGCGGCAGGCCGACCGGAAAAGGGTATTAAATTTGTACCGACCGATTTGGGGAGTGCAAGCAGCACTATCACACCCCTCTTCGGTGCGGTCGGCGCCGTGGGCGGCAGGCAGACGGGGATTATCGGAACGGATTACGGGCCGTGTGTGACAGCGAGAGCTGTGTACCATAGGATTTCCTAACAGCGGCCCGAAACGGACACCTGTATAGGTAATAGGTTCGGCATGGGACCCAGTGCGCGATGTGGACTCGGTGCAGGAAAGCACGTGGAGGAAATCCAGTGGCACATCGACGTCTGATGGCCCACCCCGGGGACGCAACAAACTAGTATTCTGTGCCCCTCAATAGTTTTGGGGCCCCGGACTACAGGTACCCCCCGGACTACAAGTACCCTTCCCCCGGACTACAGGTACCCCCCCCCCCGGACTACAGGTACCCCCCCCCCAGACTGCAGGTACCCCCCCCCCCGGACTACAAGTACCCCCCCCGGACTACAGGTACCCCCCCCCGGAGTACAGGTACCCCCCTAGCCCCCGGAACTACAAGCCCCCCGGACTACAAGTACCCCCCAGCGCGCCCCCCTGGACTACAGGTACCCCCCCCCCGGGCTACAAGTACCCCCCCCCGGACTACAAGTATCCCCCCCCCCGGACTACAGGTACCCCCCCCCGGACTACAAGCACCCCCCCCGGACTATAGGTACCCCCCCCGGACTACAGGTACCCCCAGAACTATTGAGGGACACAGAGTACCACAGCGCGCGCGCCTTGTTGGGGGGGCAGGATTTGTCCGCCGCGCGGCGGCGGTTCAAGCTAGGATCCAAGCGTTCGAGGTTCTGATATGTAGTTTAGCGTCTGTCGCGGCTGCGTGGCCGATAACATGGGAGGGTGAGGTGCCGATGTGCACGGATTCTACCCGTCCTATATACAGCAGGTGGCTGTTGAGGTTGGCCGTTTTGCGTGCGCTGGGGGTTCCTTACCCCCATTGTCGTGGGATAGCAGATGGGAAGGGTCGCCCCCACAGCGGATAGGCCGGTAGAGCCAAACTCCGAGGTCGGCCTTTCAACGGGTCGAGGAGCCAGATCGCACCCAAATTCGTGACCCAACGAACATGTCACGAATTTCGGTGCCGCCCCCGAGGGGGTATTCTTCGACAGCGGGGCCCCAATCCGCTTGATCAGAGCGAGGGTGACTTCCAAAATCCCCGTCGAAGGATTTGGTACCCAATCCCGAGGAATGGCCGACAACTATAAGTGGGGTGGAATGCGTCTTCACGGCCGCTGGCACATGGACCCCCCGGTGTCAGCAGGTGACCGATAGTTTCTGGGCAGTACTTCCGACTTTGAGGATGCGTCGGCCAACTACTAGATTATGTATCTCCCGCAGTCGCACAGTCTCAAGTATTTCGCTGATGGCCGCCTCATCTTCGAAGATGGGTGTAGGTACCCTTTCATCCTATAGCGCGATGGGTAATCCTCCTCCACCTCTCCTCCTCCTCCTCCTCCTCCGTAGCCATTTTGGCTCAAGATGATTTCGCCCCGCGGCAGGAAGCGGAGACCCTTGGTCCAGGGACAGCTCAGGACCACGCTTTGCCTCGTCGTGCCCTCGACGCTGGCCGCATCCATATTTCTCATTATTCACGCGCTAATATCTGCGAGGGCTGGCGCGGGCCCACTTTCTGTCTCGTATCCATGGGAGAAGCAGCCAGGAGGACAGCATCGGCATGTGCTGCAGACGCCCGTGCCAAAGGAGGTCACCCGTGGGCTGCATCCGCCGCCAGGCTCGGTGCTGAAGCCCCTCCTGCTCATGTACGAAAGCAACTCGAAGAAGTTCTCGCCGCACAAGTACAAGCAGCGGCTTCGACCTTCGAATCCACGGCCAAGACTGCGCGTGATGCTGCCAGTGCCAAATTCCTCGAGTCAGTCGCCGACATCGCAAAGGACCTCACGCAGAAGAACGAGCGCACTGAACGGGAGGTCTTCATGGTCAAGCAGCGCATGGACAAAGCCGAGGTGGCCAACGCCGAGCTCAGGGCATCGGTCGCAAAGTTGGAGGCCATCGTTTCCGAGGCCGAGGCTCGCGCGCCATCGATCAACGCCACCAGCATGGGCACGTGGGACCGTGAGCCCGACCCCGTCACGTTCTGGGTCGGCTGCTCAGTACCCATGGTAGCAAGCTGACATACTACCCGCTCTGGCAGACTGGTTTCGAGCTGCAGCAGTCACTGGTGCCCAGATCGCGTTCAACACGACAGGTCCGCAACGCCGCCACTCCTCTTCTGTCGCGGCACTCTGCCGGCGGAGCCCCGCGCGAGGAAGCTGTGCGACAACCTCCGCGTGGGCAACGACTGGCGCGACTTCAACATCGTCGTGGCTGGAACTACTTATCCTCTATATGTTAGTGGTGACAAAAGTCCCAAGATGGTCAGGCGCGAGGTCCAGATCAAGAAGCTCGCCAAGATCCTTCAGGCCAAGGCTGGCACCACAGACATCAGAGTACGCAGGCCCGCAGGTTACATCTCCGTCAAAGGCAACATCATCGTCCAGATCCTCGCGGGGTCGTCACCTGACCAAGCTACTGTTCTGCGCTGGGCTGATACTGCTGTGGCCAACAACATCAACGACACGCTGCAGAAAGACATCGCCGCCGAGTTTACCGCCGCCTTTGCCGATCCTCTCACAGCAGCACGGTGGCTTTGACGGCAGGTGGCCCCCATGGGTGGAAAAACCTGCCAAAGAAGGTTTGAACATCGCATACTGGAACACTCAGGCACTGCTGGGGCGCTCTGATGTCCGCAGGCATGCCAAACGCCGTCATATTTTCCCATTCCTTCGCAAGCGAGCGGTACTGGCCCTGCAAGAGACGCGCGGCACATACGATGACCTCCTGCACTTGGCCGGGTCGACCGAGCACCCCTACCTCGCCTTCCACCCGCAGCTGGTGCTGAACCGCGACGCCATCAACGAGCCGCCGCAATACTCCACGACCGCTGGCGGGATTGGCTTCCTGCTGCCCTTCGACAAGGCAGAGCGACCCCGCCCGCCCGAAGAACGACCACTTCGAGTCTTCGAAGTCACCGTTCCAGGGCGAGCGGCGTGGCTCCGAGTCACTGACGCTCAGAGGCGCCATGACGTCACCATAGTGAACATCCACAACCACGACCTCGCGCTCATGGACCGCCGAGACATACAACAACATCTCCAACGGCTTCGCGCCCATACTGATGAACGTCCACATGAGCGACTTCTCGTCCTGCTTGGGGACTTCAACTTGTCTGAGTTCCCGCCCAAGAGCCTCAATTCCCCCGTCGACTCCGACACCGCGGCCGCCCAGCGGTACCAGTGCCAGCCCGTCTTCTTGCGCAACCTCTTCAAGGACCTGATCGAGATCACCACGCTGTCGACCACGCACGGCAACGTAGGTAGCATGTCGGAGTCCACGATTGACAGATGCTTCATCTCCCTGCCTGCCATGCCATGCCGAACATGGAGACGCTACTTATCGCGAACGATGCCCCCCTGGAAGGCCCCCACGGCATGGACAGCGACCACGAGATCATGCACCTGCGGATCCGTCCCAAACAACTACGTGCTCCAGCTGAACGTGGTATTCCTGCATTCATCTTCGACTCGCCTCACTACTCCCGTAACATTGAGAAATTGCTTAGCATGATCGACGTTGCGTCCTTGCCCCCGACCACCAAGTGGAAAGTTATCAAGACAGCCATGACCGAGGCGGCCCTGCTCGCCAGGAACACCATGTCCTCCATCGCGCCGGCCGGGTTATCGAGCCAGTCGGCACCGATCGCCAAGGAGGTAAGAGCTATGACATTGCGAAGCATCGCTAGGGCGATCTGGTACCAGGACACACGCCTCGCCACCACCATGATCGCCAACACAGACCTTGCCGCCCGCCACCTGCGTGTGCAGGACGGGAACGTGTCCCTGATTGACCCTGCGCAGTTCAAGAACGAGACCGACACCACGCACTCTGCCCTCATCGAAGAAAGGAGAGCCAAGGCTGCCGCGCGTTCTCGCGCCGCCTACGCTGAGTCGAACACCCAGCTGGGCGACCGCTGGAGACGCAAGGCCAGACATGAAGGTCGACGAGGCGAACTATGGAAGCCGTTCTCCAAGCGACTGATCTTGTCGGGCATCAAGATCGCGACGAACTCAGGTTCGCACACCACCTCCGACCCAGGCGCGATGCACTCCGCCATCATGAAGCACTGGGCCCCGATCTTTGCCGCCAAGCCTGTCGACGAGTCGGCCATCCGCTCCTACTTGAACGGCATCTTCACTCAGCGCCCCGCGCGCGACCTACC